CCAATACAATTCAAGACAAATAGTCAAAAAAGAAAATACAATAAACAAAATTCTTGCAAACACAAAAAGAAGCAAATTTCTTTAAGCAAACAAAACAGAGCTGTTGAGATACTATGCTGCCAATATGCTACAATCCCAATTTACTTGCAACAATGTTAACAGTGGTGATATTGTGATTTATAATAATATATATTTAGTCTTTGTCCCTACATTTGTCCCAGAGCTCTTTAAATGCTTGGAATTTCCTAAGTGTTGAGTGTGACAAAGTTATCTTTAGTTATGTTAATGAGGTGACTTTTAGAACACACCAAGGATAGGGTCTGGTTGCCAGAGGAACTAGCCCTATATTTAGAGATGGAACTTGCAGTTCCACACCACTCCCCCTGACCTCCAGGTAGGGGGAGGGGCTGGAGGTTAGCTCTATTGCCACTGATTTAAGCCTTACAAGAAATGATGAAAGGAGTTTCTCAAGTTAAAACAAAGTATCTTTCACAGTAACATGAAAACATAAAAATAACACACTGTGAGGTAAGTATAGTCAGATTCAAAGTACTCTGAAACTGTAATTTGGTGGTATGTTAACCACTTAATTCTAAGATAAAGGCTGAAAGACAAAAGAAATAAAAATAGGTATAACTACAGTAATTTAATGGATACAGAAAATAAAAAGAAGTACTGACATGAAAAACATATAATACGGGGGGGAAATAAACAGTAGAATTTTTATACACAATAGAAGCTGAATTGTCATTAGCATAAAGGAGTGTTATATCTATAAGATGTCTGAAGCAGGCCTTATGGTAAGCACAAAGCAAAAACCCATAGTAGATATACAAAAGATAAAGAGAAGGGATTCAAAGGATACCAAGATGAAAAATCATCAATTCACAAAGGAAGACCATAAGAGAGGAAGAAAGGATTAAAGGAACTGCAAAACAACCCAAAACAATTAATTAGTCCTTACCTATAAATAATTACTTTAACTCTAAATGGATTAACTCTCTAATCAAAAGGTATGGAGTGGCTGAACAGATGAAAAAAAAAACCAACAAAACCATAACTATATACTGCCTACAGGAGACCCACTCCAACTTTAAAATACACACAGAATCAAGGTGTAGGGATGGAAAAAAAATATTCTATGCAACTGAAATCCAAAAATAAGCAAGGGTATCTATACTTATATCAGATAATACAGACTTTAAGTCAAAAACACTACAAGCAACAAAACAGGTCATCACATAATAAGAATGAGGTCAACTCATCAAGAAGATATACAATAGCAAATAGATATGAACCCAACACTGTAGCACCCAAATATTTTAAGCATTACAAACAAACCTGAAGGGCAGTATATTCAATGTAATAATAGTAGGGAACATTAATAGTGCATTATCAACAATGGATAGATAATCCAGATTGAAAGTCAATAAGGAAACAATGGACTTAAACTACATTTTAGACCAGATGGAATTTATAAACAAACACGGAGCATTTTATCCAACAGCAGCAGAATACACATTCTTCTTAGCTCACATGCACATTCTACAGGAGAGGTCACAGGATAGAATGTAGGCTATTATTTATAATAACTCTAGAAACCTACTCACGGCCTTTCATCTGAATCTTTTTTATTTGTCTCTTATAGAGGGGGGTGGTATAAGTCTTTCAATCTTCCATATACCTTTTAAATCAGCTTATCAAGTTCCTTTTAATAATCTTGTTTATTTTTACTTGGAATTACCTTTAAACTTCATAGTTTATAAAAAAAATTCATAGCTTTATAATGTTGTGCCTTCCTATTCCTGAATAGTATAAAATATAAATGTATTCAGGTCTTTTTGAATGCCTACTAATTGTCTTCTATTGTATACTTCGTGGAGGTTTTTAGTTTTTGTGAGCTCTGTTTCTTGTAGATAACATGTTTGTTTGTTTTTTTTGAGACTTTATTTACTTATTTGACACAGAGAGAGAGCACAAGCAGGAGGAGCAGCAGAGGGAGAGGGAGAAGCAGGCTCTCTGCTGAGCAGGGAGCCCAGTGCAGGGCTAGATCCCAGGACCATGGGATCATGACCTGAGCCAAAGGCAGACACTTAACCGACTGAGCCACCCAGGTGCCCCAATAACATGGTTATTATTTATTTGAGCTCGAAGAATGTTCTTCTTACGTTTGGTGATTTGAAACTTCACAAAACAATACTATATATTAGCTTAAAATTTGGAATGAACTTTATTGATGATCTTTAGCTTCCTTTGTGCTATTTTTAAATAATTTAATGTTAAGATTTTTTGAGCTTTACTGAAATGTAACAAATAACATTACATAAGTTTTCTTCTGAGAAGTACCTTTTATATCAACAACTAACTTTTTTTGGTGTTATAAGTTTATTGCTTTGTGTATGATATATAAACAACTCCTGTAGTACTATATTAAAATGGAGGTATGCCTGGGTTGCTCAGTTGGTTAAGCATCTGACTCTTGATCTCAGCTCAGGTCTTGATCTCAGGGTTGTGAGTTCAAGCCCTGTTTTGGGCTCCACAGTGGGTGTGGAGCCTACTTAAAAAAAATAAAATAAAATAAAGCATAGGTGATACTTTGGAGTATAATAAATATTACTTGTAAAAACTGATGCCCCAAAGTGTACATACAAGATGATCCCACCTTGATAAAACAAACAAATAAAAACACCTTCTAGGAATATATGCAGAGGCAAGCACAGTGTGTGTAGAAAAGCAAGGAAATAATGACCACGTGATCCTGGGTGGTGGTTACTCCAAGTGCTGGGGGATAAGGTGATTCATGAGTCACCATAATAATCAGCTGTAGGGGTTTTTCTTGTAGGGGTTCTACCTTTCATTTTGGCTAGTTTGTTTAAGGGAGTTTACACATTATTAATAGTTATTAACTTCATATTTTTTTATTTTTTATTGTTATGTTAATCACCATACATCACATCACTAGTTTTTGATGTAGTGTTCCATGATTCATTGTTTGTGCATAACACCCAGTGCTCCACACAGAACGTGCCCTCCTTAATACCCATCACCAGGCTAACCCATCCCCCCCACCCCTCTCCCCTCTAGAACCCTCAGTTTGTTTTTCAGAGTCCATCGTCTCTCATGGTTCGTCTCCCCCTCCGATTTACTCCCCTTCATTCTTCCCCTCCTGCTATCTTCTTCTTCTTTTTTTTCTTAACATATATTGCATTATTTTTAACTTCATATTTTTAAAGATTGGAAATCAGCCAAACAAATGACACAAACATGATAAAAATGGTCATGAACCACAAATGACTAATCTCTGTGTAATTTTAATTTAAAACTCTGAGTTTTAATTTAAAAAAAAGATATGGTTTTCTATTGCTATCAGATGGAGGACTAGGTGTCCTAAGAAATCTGCAATTGTGAAACACCTACCAACCAGGAAAAAATAGTACTCATATTACTTTAAACATATAGTTGTTCTCAGAAGAAAGTGAAATCTCCAGATACCAAATATAAAAGGAAAGGTGAAAACTCTTGCCTCACACAGATTTACTCCTCATTAAAAGTTTTTCTGTGAAGGGCTATGCGAGGCAGGGTTTGCTTTTCCTTCCCTTTCCAGGCTCTTGACTGCAACACCAAGGACAATATATTGCACGATAAAACCATGCTACTGAATACACTGAAGAGTTCTACTATGTGGGTTCTTTTCTCCCTTGGCATCTAAACATAGGTGCAGCATAAATGTGCAGGGCATTTAGCTCAAAGGCCACTTTGAGAGAGTTCAGTAGTTCCTAGAAGATTCATTTTCAACTGAAATATCAGGTAAAGGTTTGTCCAAGTTTCACATTTCCCTTGCACATCTGCATATTCCCTCTCCTCTGCTATTTCTCTTGTCAGAAATATCCTTTTAATGCCAATTCTAATACGGTCTAGGGGACTAGACTACTTAGGAATTAAGAGAAAAAGACAATCAAATGACACATCCACCCAGCTCCTCAGCAAGTACACTGACTCTAGAGCCCTCCCCATTGGTGAACTGGGGTATTTTTCATTGAAACACACTGGACAGGAAGCTTTGTTGTGTTGCTGTGCATTGTTGTTGATAATGAAGGAAATTTCCCAAATATAGTCTTAAATAACCTACAAAACCCAGTATGCAACAAATTATGAAAGGAATAATACACAGTGATGCATATTCCACTCATCCCTGATATTTAATGAGGCACCACAAAGCTCATTAAAGGTTTTATTTATAGTAACTTGGAAATAGAAGACTAGAAATAAAATAAAATGACAGATTTTTTTAAAAACTATAATGAAGAATTTATAATTTTAATTCTAGAAATGATTTTAAATTTTCTTTTATTTTCAACATCTGCCAGTGATCTCAGAAAATGAATTAAAATCTGTTGGCATTACACTAGGAATTAAGAATATATTCTACTTTTTATTAAAAGAGATATGCTTATTACCCATAGCTAATTTTGTTAAAATATTAAACTGATAGTAACATTAATAATGTTTAGCAACTGTATTGAGGTATACTTGAAATATAGTAATATTTAAAATTACTATACATATTTAAAAATGCATGATTTATGAGGTTTGGCATGTAAATCCATAAAACCATCATCATATATGAGATTATGAGGCTATTCGTTGCTCCCCAAAGTGCTTATATATAATGCTTCCTTGCATTATATATAAGAATCCTGGAAACATTTTGGAGTTACAGCCTAGCTTTTTTGTGACATATTTTCTAGTTAAGTTTTCATGAACATACTTACATATCTCCATAATCCTTAAGGGGCCTTTCACACTGTAGAACTCAGAAAACAGAAAACATATTTTTTATTTTATACTTCGGTGAATATGTAGTAATTTTTACATAAAGGTATTCTTTAGTACTAACGACACAGACTATTTCTACCAGTCAACTCAATCAAAAGTATACACGTATGAAAGTAGATACATAAACGGGGATAAGCTGAGCATTCAGATCTGTTTCAACTTACCTTGTCCTTGAGAACAAGAAACCCACAAGATGAGAATGACATTGATTAGTAACCACATGTCAGATACTCCCAATGGCATGTTAATACAATCTTCCAGTTGTGTTGTTTGGGATTGCAAATCTGCTTCATTGGCAGTTATCAGGTGTGACCCTGAATTTAAGCGCATTACAATGAAGCTAGTTAATTGTTGCCATCCAGTAAATAACAAAGTTCAAAGAGCTTTGCAAAAATCCCTAAATAATTGCCATCGGTGGTTTCACAATACCTCCTTGCATTTAATATTTGATATGTACATATTCAACTTGATGTAGAACCAGAAATAGACTGGCTCTGAAAATAATATAAAACACTGATTTTTTACAAGACAGTTCTGAAAAGTAGGTGAGGTTCTTCCCAGTCAGCTGAATCATGGGCTTAAAAAAACAACTGATTTTTTTGAAATCACATAAGATCTTAATATCTAGTACAAAGGTTAAAGCAAAATTCTTGGTATTTATATATTCTGTAACTAATTTGCTTTGGGCCACTTTTTATCTGGGGCCCAATTTATTCTGAAGCATATAATGGTTTCCCCTCTTAGGAAAATATCATATAAATTTCTGCCTGATTATATTTGTAAATTTTTAGGAAATCATCCTATGCTATGTTGGCAACTACACAGGTGGGTGTGGGCCACCCCAGGCCTAAAGGACTAGAGGGCCCCACTGGCAAGCTGACGGGGTGCATACTATCCATGGGTGCTCAGAGCAGATCAGTAATTGCTTGGAATGTGGAATAGACCAGGAAGAGCCAGTCACAGGCACAGGATCAAGGGGGCACAAGGCATTTGTCTTGTTCAAAGCCCTAACCTACAAAGTGGGCATAATGTCTTCCGAAAGCAGGGCTCAAGGTCAGAGTATTGCCTTCACAGGACTGTGTTGAGAGGGCTGGCTAGGGTAGCATAAAGTCAGGGACACCTGGGTAACCTAATTTCTGGAAGTGATCAGACTTTTCAGCTCCCACTTAAGGGACAGCTAGTCATGCAGGACAAAGTAGCGGTCCATGAGGAGACACCTGGGAGTCCTGGTTCCCCGTTCAGCCTGTGAGCCTATCAGGCTGCAGTTCCACATGGAGTCTGACTGTCTCCCATTTGGAGCAGGCCTCTCAAAGGGATTTGGGGAAGGAGGTCTCCATCTACACCTTCAGATCTGTGGGTGGCTGGGGCAGGGCCAGAGCTCCACAGGCTCGAAGGGATGGGTCTGCCCTTGCCCAGCTTTCTGGTGTGTTCCCTGTTACTCTACCCATGCCAGCAGTGCAGATCAAGGTAGCCAAGGACCTGGCCAGGGAAAGGGTGCAGAGAGGCCAGGTCATGGGAGCAGGTTCTTGGGCTTACAGGCATCTGCTTGATCCCAAGCCTTAACCTACACAAAGGGACCTATTCCTCCTGAGGCCCAATTGGAATCATCGGGCTGCCTTACGAGGGCCAGGTTAAGCAAGCTGACTGTGGCAGCCTCTGGCGGATAAGGGACACCGGGAAGCCTCACTGGCCTGACCACTGGTACCCGGGAACCCAACCAATGGTAAGTGTACATGAGCGCTGACTGTGGCCAGTTAAAGGCTGACGTTCTAGAAGGACTTTCCCAGGGAAGGGTTCTCTCCACCCTGAGGCCAATCGAGTGCCTGGAGTGCCCCCAGCTGACCTGGAGTGGACTGGGCATGTGCCAGCCTAGCGGGTAAGGGGAGCTGGAGCCTGGGGGACGTTCAGTGGGCCTGCCTACCATTGTGGTCTACGACCCCAAAGGAAGTGCTATTTTCAACCCCTATTTGAGGGATGGACAGCTGGCCAGTTGGGCAGGACAGGGTATCCCTTCAACAGCAGACACCTAGGAATCCTGGGGCCTTGTTCAGCCCAGGACCCCATCAGGCAACAAGTGCACGTGGGGACTGATGGCCACCCCCTCATAGCTGCCACCTCAGAGCAAATTTTCCACAGGTGGGCTCACTCCACACCTGGGGATGTGCAGGTAGTTCGGGCCTGGCAGGAGTTTCCCAGGCTTGGATGGCCAGGCTGCCCAAGACCTGCTTACAGGGTACCTACTGGGCATGTGCAGGCTGCAAGTTCATGGGAGCCAGGGATCTGGAACAAGGCAAGTGTCTGAGAGGCAGGGTCATGGGAGTAGACTCTTAGGGTTACGGGGCAACTGTCTAATTTCAAGGCTTAATCTACACCATGGGTATATTCCCAATTGAAGGAATCAGGTCTGCCTTGCGTAGGGGGCCCAGTAGGATGGCTGGGGTCCCCTCCAATGACACGTGGAAGCCTTGAGTACTGAAGAAACTCCACGCTTCATCTGGCAGCCATTCCAAATGGATACAGAATTTCAACAGATTAAAGCTGCCCTTTCAGAAAGATATGGGGGGGTGGGGGTAGGCTCCTTTCACCCTGAGGGTCTTCTGGTGGTTTGAATCTAGTAAGAGTTCCACAGGCCTGGAGTGCTCCCTGTAGGCCAAGGCCAGCTGACAGGGTATGGACTGGGCATGAGCAGGCCCTGCGGGTCAAGGTCACCAAGGACCTGGGACAGAGCAATGTCGGGCAAGGCTGATCACAGGAATGGTTTAATGGAGGTATCTGGCATCTGCCTCATTCTAAGACTTAACCTACACTAATGTGTGTATTTCCCCCTGAAGGCAGATTGAGTAATCTGGACTGCTTTGCCTGGGAGGAGGAGGAAGCAGACAGAAGGAATGGCTGAGGTTTCCTACAATAACAGACACAAAGAAGCCTTCCTTACCGGAGACTGAACACCCGTCAGGCAGACCACTGCCCGTTTAAAGCAGCCTTATCAGAAAGATTTTCAGGGTGTGGGCTCTCTCCACCCTGGAGGCTGGCAGGTGTTTGGGGACAGGCTTGAGCTGCATAGGCCTAGAGGGCCCTACTAGCCAAGGGCTGGCAGACAGCGTGTAGACCATGCATGAATGGGCCACACAGATCAAGGCAGTCAGGGACCTGGGGCGGGGACATGTAGGGTAAGGCCAGGTCACAAGAAAGCATTAATAGGGGCACCCGACATGTGCCTAATTCGGAGGCCTAACCTACTCAATATTTAGCCTAGCATAATACAAGGTGATTGTGCTTGGAGAAATACTGGCAATAACAGCCATAATAATTACAGAACTCCTTGAGCGACGAGAACAAGAATTAGAAGTTTATAGGACACTACCTTATATTGCAGGCATGAATCCACTATGCATCTTTTATCCTATCAGTATTTCTACTAGGTCAGGGCAGCATTTTGCCTATTGCTCACGACTGGATCCCATACTCATTGCAGCTATGGATACTCTTCTGACAGCAAAGTCAAATTAACTGCAGGAATTAAAAAGAGAATGAAAACATGCATCCCTAAAATAAGACAACCTTGAATCCTTATGTTACAGTGGTCAAACACATGCTTGATAGGGCTATGCAAGCTTGTACCCCTTGGAGCTTGATAAAAATGATCTCTACTTAGAAACATAATTTGTCAAGGAAGTTAAACTGAGGGGTTTAACAAGGTTTGATTTGATTGAATGTTCATGATTAGATTGAAAGTGATGTAGAATCAAGGAGTAAATTATTTTTGTGAACCTAGATCTGTACTGGGCATTAGGTCTAAGGACCTAATTAGTGTGGGAGTGATTTGAAATTACGCAGTTGATTGTTTTGCATTGGTTTCAAATCCACTCAAAGATAAAAAAAAAAAAAAAAGTTGTTTTTAGAAGGAAAGTTGTTTTAATATAAGAATGAACTAAGTTGGGGCTCCTGGGTGGCTCAGTCGTTAAGCGTCTGCCTTCGGCTCAAGTCACGATCCCGGGGTCCTGGGATCGAGCCCCGCATCAGGCTCCCTGCTCAGCAGGAAGCCTGCTTCTCCTTCTCCCACTCCCCCTGCTTGTGTTCCTGCTCTCGCTGTCTCTCTGTCAAGTAAATAAATAAAATCTTTAAAAAAAAACAAAAACAAAAAAAGAATGAGTTAAGTTGTGTCAGGACATCATCATCTCCTCTGTTCTCACCCGTAAGAACTCAGTAGCTCAGCTCGTGAGGGGCCCTCCTGGGGGCTTACTAACAAAACCATATGAAGAAGCAGCTCTAGCAAGGGGCTATTTAGACTGCATAGACAGACAATGCTGAGACTATATATATGATCCAAGAGTGCTGGGTCTGGGCAAGGCTACACTTCGCTGATCTAAGATAGTTCTCTGAGTCCCTGGGGCAATTAGCCTCTGCAGCCTGCAGCAGTAATGGTGACTCTTACATCTAGCGGAGAAAGCTATCCAGTCAACCCTCTCAAACATCTCCTGTCCATAAACACCGGCACCATCGTTCCCTTCCAACGTGCTCTAGAACACAGAACTCTTACCTTTGCATTAGCAGCCAGACTTCAGTTCTCAGTTGGCTAAACCATGTCTCCCAAATACCAACTCATATAGAAGTACACATTAACTACATTTGGGGTTTATTCCTTCTAGCTTCCCTGGCCTGAACAACAGTGTGACTAACCTAAGATTATTTTGGAGCATGTCATTTCTTTATTGGCTAATTAAAAGACATTATATGCTAATGGCTTATGAAATTCTCACAGTGAACCAATGTAAATACATCGTTGGCCTAGACAAATCAGTCTATGAATACTATTGCCTTCCAAAACACAACAGCCTTCGAGGAAATATGTGCACTTGCATAGGTTGGGGCTTGGAACTAGGCTGACTTCAGGTACCCCCACTAGCCTGCTTCTGTGACCTGGCCTTGCCCAACATTTGCCCTCTTCTAGGTCCCTGAGCTGCACCACCTGCCATGAGCAGCCCACACTCTGTCAGCCACCCTTAGCCAGAGGGGATCCTCCAGGCTTGTGAAGCTAGGGCTCATCCCCAACCCTTGGCATTGTGTCAAATGTGGAGGGAGCCCACCCCTAAAAATCGTTGTGAGGCAGCCATTAAATGGGTATCAGTCCATCCCCATGTGTACTCCCCATTTGCTGGGGTCCCAGGGTCCTGTAGTAATGGAGGCCCCCAGGTGTCCCTTCTTGGAGGGTACCAAAGCCAGCCTGCCCAATCCAACCCCAGTGAGGCAGTCCAGATTCCTTCAGCATTGCCTTGAAAGGGAATATGCTTACTTGTGTAGTCAGGGCTTAGAATTAGGCAGATGCCAGGCACCCCCAACGGCCTCCCACCATGACTGGCCTCCCTGGACATTGCCCTGTCCCAGGTCCCTGGCTCCCCTGACCATCAATGCCCATGCACGTCGTCTGCACTTTGTCAGTTGGCCTTTGGCTGCAGGCCTGTGGAGGTTAAGGCCGTTCCCAACTACCTGCTTACCCTCCAGGTTAAAGAAACCACCCTCCCCCAATATCTTTGAGGCAGCAGCTTTATAATGGCAACTCTCAGCCCCCATTTGGACTGGCTGCCTGATGGGATCTGCTCTCCCGGGGGTCTGCTATTGGAGATAACCTGACCAGCACCCCGGGCCCTTCCCCAGCAAGGCAGTTTGGATTTCTCCAACTCTGCTGCAGCAGGAATATGCGCACTTGTGCCAATTAATGCTTGGAAGTAGAAGGATGCCCAGTACTCCCAATAGAATGGTCCTGTGACCCAACCTCATCTGACATTGCCCTGCTCCAGGTCCCTGGCTACCCTAATCTGTGAAGTAAACTTGGCCCGATTATTTACATAAGTGCAGCAAAGTAGCGATTGATCCTATAGGCCTCTTTAAAGCACTGTGCACTCTGCCCCATGTCAGCTGGTCTTGAGCCTCAGGGTTGAAGTCCAGAACTTCTCAGAAATCAAGGTCCGAGGTGTCTGTGATTGGAGGATACCCCAGCCAGCCCACCTGGTCCCCTCCTGGCAAAGCAACCCAGAATCCTCCAGCTTTACCTTCAGGGGAATATGTATTTATGTAGGTTAGGGCTTGGAATTAAGCAGCTACCATGAACCCCCAAGAGCCCATTCCTGGACCCACCCTCTCCCATTACTTGCCCTTTTCCAGGCATCTGCTTAGCCTGACCTGCATCGCCTGCATGTGCCCATATGCCCCTGGTTTGCTGGCCTTTGACAGCTGGGGCCCTCAGAACCTGTGGAACCCAGGCCTGTCTATATACACCTGCATACATGTCAGGCTTGAAGCATCTTTTTTTTAAGATTTTATTTATTTGTTTGACAGAGAGAGAGTAGGAGCAGGGGGAGCAGCAGGCAGAGGAGAGAAGCAGGCTCCCAGCTAAGCAGAGAGCCCAACACCGGACCCGATCCCAGGACTTTGTGAGCACTTTGTGTGCTATGGCAGGTGATGTTTTTTCCTCTCTTCACTCGAAGTTTGACCTTCGTTTGAGGGCCTTGGTTGACTTCCAAAAGGAAGCCTTGGTTGGGGGACAGATGTCAATCAAGAATCAGGGAAGACTTAGGGATTCTGCTCATAGAAGTTCTCTTGTTTCTTGGATTCTTGCTAATATGCATCTACTTTTGCTGTCGTATAGGGTAATACCTTGTTTAAGATAAAGAAAATAAAGTAAAGCCTAGGCATGTGTCATACTAATTTGATCCCTTCATGCAGCCCTTTGGGATG